GGTGCTAAAACCCTGTAATTTTTGAGCTGGGCTGGGCCCCGCTTTTCCAGCGGGGAATTAAAGGAGGTGGCAGTTTCCAGTGGGGTCACGTTTGCTTCTTCTCCGAGCAAAGTCGGTGTCAGGGGCGATCCGTGGGGCACCTCTCCGTGCCGGTGTCCTGCCCTGGCTGCTGGAGCCCAGGGGATGCTGTAAGGGCTAAACCTTCTCCCTGTGCGCTGCCGACGGGGCATCAAGGGCAACCCCATGCTGGCATCGCAGCCCCCAGCACCGCAGCCCTTGTGATGGGGCGAATCCCCCACAATGGACCAATTCCCCGCCGGCACTGCGAGCTCCGTCCCAGGACACGAGATGCTTTCTCCTTGCTGCTGGCCCAGGAGCATCGCTCGAGCCATGGGCACCCGCTGCACGCGCGGCCTCGGGAAGCCGTGGCCCGAGCCTGGCCAGAGGCATCCGGCTCCGCACGTCCCCGAAGGTCTCTCCGGGCTCCGGACGGTGATGCCGAAGTTTTTCCTGCTTCCTTCCTGCTGTCGGCTGTAGCTTTGGCCTTTTGTACCGCAGGTCCCAAATGTGTTTTCCACGGGGCGAGGGCGCAGCGGTGGACGGGAAGGGGATGTTCTCGGGTCCTGCTGGGCTCCTTGGCTTCAGCTCTGCTATTTAAGCTGGCTGGGTTTGGGACTGGCCCGTGAAGTGGCCGGTGTCCAGGACAGTAAACGTCCCCATCCTTCAAAACAGGCTGTGGGGCAGCGCCGGTGACCCAGTCCTTCGCACGTCTTAACCTGTTAATAATGTCATAATTAATGTCTTTAATTGCAGCTAGATTAGCTGCCCCGTAGGGGCCTTTCTGCCTGCATTCAAAGGTTAAACGCGGCTGCAATGCCCGAGCCCAAACAGTGACGCCAAACCCTAATCCAAAAAATAATACTGGATGTGAGCGCGTTTGGGGTAGGGCTGGAAACCTTGGCACCGGGACGGCACCAGTTCAGCCACCAATTCCTGATTTCCCATGCCCTCGGCTTGGGCACAAAACCCCAGGCAGAGGGTTTGGGGAGCCCTCGGGGGGCTGCCCGCTTTGGGGCTGAGCCCGCTGTGAGCTCTGAGCCGGGCGCGTGGTGCCGGTGGGGCTTTCCAGGGGCGCGGGGGCAAACGCCACCACCGTCCCCCAGCACCCGGCCCAAGCGGGAAGTAGCTGGAGAAGTTTCGCCGTGTTTGTCTTGCGGTTGAAGCCGTGGGAAAGGAAAATAAACCCTTTATCTTCAAATAAACTGGGGGAATCGGGCCAGGTGGGGACAGCTGAGACAGCAACCCTCCGCTGGGCTGGTTTGGGTAAGTACACACCGCACTCGGGGTTTCTCCACCTCCGCGGTGTTTGTCTTCCAACACCGGCTCCTCCGGTGGGATGAGCCACGAGCAGCCACTCGCAGCAGGGCCAGGATGGGGGTCCCCGTCATGGGATGGGTGCTGGACCGTGAGTGTGGTACCCCAAACCCACCCCCCCTCGGGGATGTGGTCTGCTTGCCCCTCCTGATGGCCACTGGCCCTCCTGGGACAGGGGGTGGCTGGGATGGATCTGGTGACCCCAGAGTCTCTTTTGCTGCTGTGACCCAGGGGGACAACCCTCTTACAGGGTGGCATGTCATAAAAATAATAAAAAAAAAATGCTGCTTTTCCCTAATCCAGAAGACCCTGAGGAGGAAGAACCCTCCTGCAAGCCATAGCTGCTGTGGTGATCGTTATTCACCCGATTTCCGATCCATCAGCACCCTCCCGTCCATCCCCACAGTGAAATTCAGACCGGAGCCTGCAGCAGGGCTGGGGGGTGCCCTGGGTGCCCCCACCCTGGGGCCTCGGGCTGGACACCACCAGGCTGGGTGACAAGGTGCCAGTGCCGCCTTGTGGCAGCTGCCTCAGGGTCCCCGCACCATGGGCACCTGCTCCTTCCCCGGGCACCGTGGGATCCCTGGGGAGGGAACAGCCGGGCTTGTCCCCGTGCGACCCACAGCTGTGGGCTGGTTGGGTGTCCCTGTGGGACCCATGGCTCCAGAGTGCCTGGTGTCCCCTTGGGACCCACAGCTCCAGGCTGGCTGGGTGTCCCTGTGGGACCCATGGCTCTGGGCTGGTTGGGTGTCCCCATGGAACCCACAGCTCTGTGCTGGCTGGTGTCCCCTTGGGACCCACAGCTCCAGGCTGGCTGGGTGTCCCCACAGGACCCATGGCTCCAGAGTACCTGGTGTCCCCATGGGACTTATGGCTCTGGGCTGGTTGGGTGTCCCCATGGAACCCACAGCTCTGTGCTGGCTGGTGTCCCCTTGGGACCCACAGCTCCAGGCTGGCTGGGTGTCCCCATGGGACCCACGGCTCCAGGCTGGCTGGATGAGCTCATCCTCAGCAGGGGGTTGTGTTGGTCTGCTGAGGATGCTCAGAGGGGTATGGAAAGAAGGGATTATAAGGGGAGGACGGATTTGGGAGCGTCCCAAAATGGGTTTGCTTCTGCTGATGGAGGAAGGATTTGGGGACTAATTAGGTGCTCATCCCAGAGCTCAAGAGATTCCTTGTCAAAGCCGATGGGGTTCTGGCCTCGCTCCCTGTGCTGCAGCCCCAGGAGCAGACAATTTCTGGGTAACGCTCATGCAGTTTTAACAGCAAGGAGACACACTCAGGCGCACAGAGAGAAGAGCTGGGGAAGCACTGGCCTTGGCTGAATCACTAAATCCAACCGTGCAAATCGTAGCTGACTACATTCAGGTTTTAAGCAATGCAGCTAGGAAAAAAAAAAAAGGGCTCACGGGAGGCCAATTTATTTAAGATTATTTTTTTCTTAGCACACAGCAATGAACCATGGGTGAGATGATGTCTGTAGCACTTTGCCTGGTACTTGGAAAAGGATACCGAAATGTGGTGTGTATGGGAAGTTCAGGCTGACCTTGGCTTAGCGAAGCAACGGTAGGATTGTCGGAGCAACAGGAATCGCGGAGGTCTGTTCCTGGGACTGCTTTGATACTGGGCATTTTGATAAGAAATGTGCAAGGTGAAATGGTAGCAGTGCAGAGACTGATAGCGATGGTATTGCCAAGCGATGCCAGCAGGTATCAGTGAATGTTTAGCTAAGAGCATGAGGCGCCTCCGGCAGTCTGTGGTATACCGATTTTGGCCGGTGAATATGCGGCACAGTGGCACTGAGGTAGGGGAAGGTGTGTTCAAAGGGAGCTGTTTGTCCGAGACAGCGGTCGGTGCCCGGTGGGAATCCGGCACTGCCGATGGAGCCGGTGTGCAGGGGAGGAGCGGGAAGGGCACGCTGCTCTCTCATCAGGCGAGCTGAGCCAGGCTCACACGCACGAATGCTTATTCGCAGGGTTTGCAGCTCATGGCAGACAGGGGCTGTGATGGTGAAAGCTAAACTTGGGAAATATTAAAAAGAAAAAAAGAGGGAAAGGGAAAGCGCTTCCAGTTCATGGCAGGGCAGAGGAGCGCTGGATGTGCATCCCCTGCGCTGCAGCAGATGGATGCCAGACAAGGATCTTCCATGTTGAAGGGGGGTTCCCCTGTACTTTCCTGGGGTAACTTCCCCAGGCCCCTCTCACCCTCCCTGTTCTTGCTGGTTGTGCTCATTGTGCTGGCTGGAGCACGCTGTGATCTGGGGCAGACGCTGCAGCACGATTTGGCTGATAGGTTTGGTGCAGAGATACCACTGGATGATGTTCATTTGCTAATTAAATGAGGTTTAGCTACTAAAAGTCCTAACGAACTCTATTTGTCCCATGCATAGAGCTACTACTAAATGCTATGAAACGAGGGTGGAAAAGCTGGGGAGGGGATTCGGGGCAGTTTATACATCAGAGGCAATCGCTGCCCACAAGAAGTGGGACATGAAGCTGTAACGGTGTCCTGGCTGCGCAGGTGCAAGGCTGCGGGGCTCAGCGCTGAGAGTGTCGGGCGAAAGCCCTGCAGCACAGCTCGCAGTGTCTTACGCAAACACGGGCGGTTTCAAGCAGTGACATTTCAGTACCAATTTCCTCAGCTCTACACAACTTACCCTGCACTTTGGGATTAATTGAGGGGATAAATAGGGGCAAAAAGACTGATCCATACTCCTTTTGTGTTCTCTCACCAGAGCAAACGGGCCCATCACATCTCTTTTCTGCAGGTAGACAACTGCTCAGGAAAGCACACACGTGGGCTATTGATACCTAGAGGAGAGGATTAAAAATAACCAGGTCTGTGTTTGGCTTCTGGTTTGTAAAGGACAGGCATTGATATACGAGGGGACTGGTGACCCAAGCCAGGCTGAAGTGAGCAGGAGGCACCGAAATTCCCCCCAGTGAAACAGCAGCCCTGGAAGGAGCCCATGCCCCGAGCGAAGGGTGGACATGGAGAGCTGGACCGGTGCCTCTTCCAGGTGCTGCGGATGGGGATGCCCACTGCAGCTTTCCTGCACCCACGCCTGGTACGCTCACCCACTGCGCTTATGCAGCCTC